TTCATTTTTATAGGAACAGTAACAGTCATTCTTCTATGTGGAAATTCCAAAGAGATAACATTTAATCTGGTGCTAATATTTCCATTAGCATATTTTTCCTTAAAACTCATTAAATTGAACAGAATTATGAAAACATCTTAAAACATCAATCTTTGAGTCCTATATCATGGAAACTATTCAGTTGTGCTACTTAATGTCTATGGAAATCTTCAGTCTAGGCAAGCCAGACAGTCTAGACAGAAACCAAGGGCAACCAAACCCATTCTTTCTTACTGATCCCTAATAATTTTTTTCTATAGTAAGTTATTGCAGGGTAGCAGAGAGTGCAGATACCCTGCATATGCTTGAAAGGTAGGAATCAAGTCACTCCTAGATCTGTCCTTTCTTTTCTAAGCTGAACAATTCACCACCTAACTGAGATACAGAAGAATAAGTTTATATATATAGTTTCTGTTCTACCTCTAATAAGTTGTATGCCTTTTTTTTAAACTTTTTGAAACAATTTTATTTTATGTGTATGCGTGTATTGCCTGCATATAGGTAAGTGCACCTGTGTCGTGCAATGCCCGTGGAGGTCAGAATAGGCTGTTGGATCCCCTGGGACTAGAGTTACGGACAGTTGTTAGCTGCCATGTGGGTGCTGGGATTCGAACCTGGGTCTTCTGCAAGAACAAGAAGTGTTCTTAACCGCTGAGCCGTCTCTCCAGCCCCAAGTTGTATGCCTTTTGTAAACAGTCTGTTTAGGTCTTAAATTTCTTCACCCAAAACTTAAAAATATTGGACATGTTAACACTCAACATGTATTTTTTTTGTCCTATTTAATATATAATTGCCACACTTCTTAATTACATATCTGACTAATGTTTGGGGAGAAAGTAAGATAAAACCAACAAATATTTATACCTAATTTGGTAGCTGTTTTAGAAGAGAGTACTTAGCTTCAGGTTGGCTGTACTCTCTCCAAATAAAGTCAAAACACAGAAAAGAGAACTGAGAAACTATTTTGTTTTAAGATAATGGTAGTTTTTCCAGAAATTATCAATTGTTTATGAGAAATTCATCAGGAATCATTCTTGTATAGTCATTTAAGCATGTCTTTTAAAGACATTATAATCTTAGGTGCAGTACCTATAGGAGTCAACAATATAATATACACTCTCTGTATCACTAGGAGGTTGGTACCAGGACCCCAACTGGGCACCAAACTCCACAGAGGCTCAAGTTTGTAAGCCATTTATAAAACGGCTTAGTATTTACATATAACTTATGCACATCCATCCATACACTTTAAAAAAAATCACCTATAGACTATAATACCTAATTCACTGTAAGTCTATGTAAATAGTTTCTATACATAACCCTGGTGATTCTATTTCAATCCACTAGTAAAAACACTGGTATCAGCAGGCCAGGTGTTAACAGGATTGTGTATGGTCAAGGGCTAAGACTAGTCTACTTTAACTTTAAGCTCCACCAATCTACCATGTAAGCTTGGGTTACTTAATTGCTCTGAGCCTCAGCTTTCTCAACTGTAAGGTCACTGTGAAGATATGCTAGATCATGTACTCAGCATAACAGAGAGCACACAGGGATCAATAAATGTTGAGACAAGCAAGTTAGGAAATGGGTGGCATGACACAGTGCTGGGCCAAAGGCAGTACAACAGGAAGAATGGGGTTCAATGTGCACAAATGTATATGTGCAAGTGTTTTTAGGGACATTCCCAAGTAGAATTTGTGGCATTCTTATCACCAGGCAGGCTGGGGAAGTCCAGGTGATGGGCCTATTTACCCGCAGTAAAGCAGCAGGGCAGGGCTCAAATTCGAAGCCTGGCACAGATCCCAAGATCTGCTAGGTTTACTGAGCTAATGACAGGCATCTGGCTATGTGGAGAATGGCTACAAGTTCAGTGTTTGAGGAAATCAAGTAGTGTTTTCTCTAAAAACTAGTCATAGAAAACAATAGCTGTGTTCATGTCCTTAGAGGACAACCAGGCCACACTTCAGTTTTAGGTTACATCACGGATTAATTTCTGAGGCAAGTTGAAAATTTGGTTAAAATTAGAATACATGGTAATCTAAACTACTCTCTAATCTTGACATTATACCACACATTTTAATATACTTTACTATATATGTAATAAACATAATGTGAAGGATAAGCTATTTGAATACTGAGCTCACTTACCAATACTTACCCTGAAACCTCATATGGCATTCACATATATTTATTAAAAGTTGATTTTCTTACTGCTTTGCAAGAATTTCCTGTACCTGACTTTTGCTTTTTTTTGGGTCTTTTTGAGACAGGGTCTCTCTGTAGTTCCAGCTGTCCTGGAACTCACTATGTAGACCAGGCTGGCCTTGAACTCACAGAGATCCGCCTGCCTCTGCCTCCCAAGTACTGGGATTAAAGGCGTGCACCACCACGCCCATTGACTTTTACATTTTTAATTGTTCTCTTTTTTTAGGAATCTAAATGCCCATTTTTTAAAATCCAAATATAATTTTTAATCCAAATGTAATGCTCTTTCTCTTCAAAACTGCATTCTATTTTTAACAAACAATACATTTATCTGTGAATAAAATCTAGTTTCATATATTTTATCTTTAATCATGGAGAACAGAGGCAGGTGGATTTCTGTGAGTTCAAGGCCAGCCTGGTCTACATAGTGAGTTCCAGGAGAGCTGGGGCTACAGGGAGACCCTGTCTCAAAAAGACCAAAAAATAAAAATAAAAGTTCCCCAATTCAATGAATTGCATGCTTTTTCTTTGCTCAGCTGCTAGGCAGTTACTCATACAGACACTGTTTTCATGGGTATATATGTATATAAGGGACTATCATCTTTATTTACATTTAAATATAGGAGCAGTTAATTGATGGCCAAATCATTTGTCTTAGCTTTACAAAAACTTTTATTTCCATGAAACCTAAAAATTTCTAGAGACGAACCAGTAGAGAACAATTGGTGCTTTTAATTTAACTACATTACTAAAAGGTATAAAAGTGGTTTCACCAATTTGTTCACTTAAGATGTATTAAAGTAGTGAACATTCAAGGTCAAAAGGTATGTGCGGCACACACCTTTGATCCCAGCACTGAAGAGGCAGAAGCAGGTGGACTACTGTGAGACTGAGGCCAACTGGTCTACATAGAGATTCCAGGACAGCTGGATCTATAGGGAGACCCTGTTTCAAAAAAAGTGTACGTTCTAAGTTATGCCTAACAATAACTACTGAACTGTCAGTAACAGGTATGGAAGAGGAGGCAGATTGCTTTGGTGTCGTCTATTCCCTCCACCCCTCAATGAAAAGCAAAGAATTGGCGGCAACGGCTCAAAACAAAAAGGCAAAATATGAGCTGTACCTGTGAGCTCAGGCTAAGTCTAGTTCATCAGTTTTAGTAAGTGTGTTATCTGTTGTGTGAAAGGTTGACAAGTTTAGCAGTTTAGCAGGAAGTCTACATTATGAATAAAGTTTACTGAATTCTGTGAAAACACTTTTTCATCTTTATTATGTCTTACAGCTTAAAATGTGATATATGAAAAAACTACTTACAAATTTATGGACTTCTTGACATTTACATAAATCATTAAAAACAGCATGACTGTAGTTAATTTATCTTCAAAATACGTTTTAGAATTTTAAACATTTGTCTTCTCTATTAAAACCAGAACTTCTGATTATATTTAAATTTAAACACATTAAGAAAAAACATAATTTAGAACAGAGCAGGCTTTGATTTTTGCAAGAAAGAGAACATAGTAATCTATCATCATTTTAACTCTATAAATATTTTTTCATTAACTACCATATTCCACCCAGTGTTCTGGGTAGAAAATATTAAAAACAGTGTTGCTTTTGAGACTTGGATGGTCTAACAGGGAAAACAGAAATGATGGGCATTAGGACACAGCATACCTTGTTTAAGAGCACCTTCTCCAGCTCGGATGAAAGAGATTTCATTGGAATCAACCATGTGGTGTGCTCCATCTTGCAGAACAAACCGTAGCCCAGAGAGCTTGTGACCAGAAAGAGGGCCCTTTTCGCAGGCATCTAAAAACCCCTATTAATGAATGAATACAACTGCAATGAGATTCCACTTGCACAGCATTACCAAAAATGAAAAAAGGTTAGTGTTCAGAAGGGTAATGTTCTTAGGATATATGCTATATTTCATCTCAAAGAATTTTTTAAATAGTTTGGTATTTTCGCTATTCATGTTTCACTACTCTGGTACCCTGGGGTAAGTGATTCTTTGGAAAAGCGAATATTTAAAGGTGTGAGCTACCTGGAAAATAAAGCTCAGAGCTTTATTCACTTCCTACAACATCAACTTCAGGAATTACTTCACTCTCAGTAATTACATTATCAAAAGACAGTGGGATCTCAATTTCACAATGAGGAAAATGGGGGAAAGGTAGACTATGGTATGCCCTAAAAAACTCCATCAAAATATGTGTGTGTTCAGCAGCTCTGCCACAAAACCACTACTGTTTTCCTTTGCTGGCAGATCACTACAATATAAAGTTAGAGAATGCAACAAAAACCAGAATTAAAATGGAATTTCATTTTTACAAATGCAACTCATTTTAAACCAGCTTCATTGAGGTATAATATATACAATAAATTGCATATGTAAAGAGTACAGTTTGATAAGTTTGTAATTCATTTTCACCCAGTCACTTAAATATTTATAGACCTCCTACAATTCAGTTACATAGCTACACACATGTATATGTAAGTATTTCTGACATTCAAAACTGTAAATCATGTATGATGAAAACTATGTAAGTTTTCGTTTGCTTACATTAATCTTAGAAACACCTGATATTTAGGGTGTGAATGGCAAGGTAGTATCTTAAGAGTATGCTAGTGAGGTGTGGTGGTGCAGGCCTTTACTCCCCATACTCCGGAGGCAGAGGCAGGCAAATCTCTGTAAATCAAGGCCAGCCTGGTCTACATAGCAAGTTACAGGCAGGCCAGGTGGGGCTACAGGGACACCTTGTCTCAAAAAGACAAAAAAAAAAAAAAAAAAAAACCACAACTGAAAAAAAAAAAAAAACACTCCCACACAAAAAC